TATATATATATATATATGTATATATATGTATGTATATGTATATGTATATGTATATATAAATATGTATATATATATATATATCGGTGGCCAGGAACTGAAGCATAGCGTATTGTTAGGTGTGAGATGCAACGCTCGCACTGGAAAGTATTTACCGACAAGATTGATACATATGTCACCATTCCACGTTGTATAGATATTCCTACATCTGTACAGCCCGAGCAGCCACGGAATCTAAGTAGAGAATTGCGCTAGGCAATCTAATCGAATACTGCAGAATATCTACCCATCGTAGCAGTAAAATGACTAAATAGCTCTCCTACAATATCGTCTTGCTTTTGATTTAATTACCACAATGTTTCTTATCAGCCTCGGTTTGACACAGGCATGCATAGTTATCAAGTGTGCATTTGCACTAAAACTCAGGTGTTCCAACCTCTTCGACAATCGCTGTGATATACTAGCCGCCTCTCGCCGCGATATCACCGAAGTGGGCCGTGAAGTTCCTAGATATCGAGGTGCCTGGAGATGTGCTCCATAAACAGTGCATTCAAGAAGCAATGAGCAGCAGCTTCCTAACCTGGGCTGCTGCTAAAAGATCGTTCAAGCCACCCACATAAAGTGTACCAGCCAAATTTGGTTTCTAAAAAGGATAAGAGCAATATGCTATTTGTGGCACATGCAGCATGTAGACAGCTATTAACGAGCTGCGGAGAATCAAGACATTCAACCGGTGTGTTGGTGGAGGTAAAACTTCAAGTTTACGAGGTATATACATATACATGTCACTTTTCATCGATTTAGTATAAAGTAATCAAAAATGCGCCATTTTCTGCCGAGCATCAGAAGCGTCTTTGGAAGCGTTTAGCGAAGATGTATCAGATAGTACCGTATAATAATTGACGAAAATGTTGAAAGTTGTATGGTGAAATAGAGACTGGAGCGGAACTATGGAGTGATTGAACAGTTGTAGAAAGGTAAATATTACGTGATACAAGCTAAGTGCCCTGAAAAATTATATGTAGCTGACCAAGATATATATGTATATATATATACATATATATATATATATATATATATATTTATGCATACATATATACTGATATACTTATACATGTATATGTATATGTATATATGTACATACACACACACACATATATATATATACACATATATAGTAAACTATACATACACACACACACATATACATATATATATATAGAAATATATATCTATATGTATATCTATATGTATATCTATATATATGTTTTATATTTATATACATATATATATATATATAAATATTCATAGGTATGTAAATATTTATATACATATATATATATATTTATACGTATATATATATATATATAAATATATGTTAATGCGTACATATATACTGATATACATATACATATATATATGTATATGTATATGTATTTATGTACATACACACAAAACACACACACACACATTTTAATATATTTATATAGCTATATATATATACATATATAGTAAACTATACATACACACACTAACACACACACACTCACACACATATATATATATACAATTCAAATATATATATATCTATATATATATGTAAATATGTATATATATATATATATTCATATATATGTATATATGTATATATATATATATAGAAAATATTTATATACATCTATATATATACATAAATTATATACATATATATATTGATATATATATATATATATATATATATATATATAGTCTATATACATATATCTACTATATATATATATATATATAATAATTCAGTATTCTATGCCTGTAAGTTGATATTGTATTCATATTGTGTAGTCTTTTCATGCGTTGTCAAGTTTCCATAGCCACAATGACATCATTTGAGTGACTAGTTTGGAAGACATATATAGCACCTTTAAATTTTGGATGGTGTTATCTCTCTTTTATTTACGTAGACTATATATATATATATATTGAGAATTCAGTGTTTCAGGTCTACAACTTGATATTGTAATCATACTGTGTAGTAATTTTATGCGCTGTCAACTTTCCATACCCGCAATGCCATCATTTGGGAGACAAATTTAAAATATATTTACAGCACCTTTGAATTTTGGGGTTTTTTTTCAGTTACGTACCTGTTTTCCCTCCTGTTTCGATTAAGACAGTGCTAAACTCGTGTATTGATGGTGGAGATATAAAAACCTGTATATAGAACACTCAATCGTGCTTTTAATCGATTGAACGTAAAGTCGAATGTTATCTATTGTCTATTCGAATAATAATGCAAACATTTTGTCGTGAATCGTATATAAAGCTGAGTGTAACACCATCTCGAAACAGATCATTAACCTCGAGGCATACTACACTACAATGTTTTATGTTTTATGTGCAACATCATGCTAACGATGCAGCTGTGATGTGGCTGTCTTTAATTTAGAAGGCGGCTACGACTGTTTTTTTAATTTATTTACATAATTGAGGATTGTTGTTTCGCGAAATGAACTGAAATTTTTACATAAATACTTTTACTGTATGTAAATATGTATCTAATTTTGTTTTTTTTGTTTTTGTCACGTGTAATTTTAATACACATCGCGTGACGCGAATGCCGTACAGTCTTACAGGGCTATGTACAGGCTACTCATAGCTCATTCTATTACATTAAGAGAGTAGTGTACGAGAGTGTCATAGTCATACATCATTGCATAGAAACTAGAAAGATTATTTTTGTTGTAAAAAAAGTAGCTGCATCAAAGATAAATATTGATAGGTTGTACGTGAACAATACTAGAGAGAGTACTTTCTAACCTCTTTTGGTCTGCTGTTCTGAAAATAAATTTCTTTCTTGTTTTCGGTAGTATTTGACCCTTTTTCTCTGACTCTGCATCTCTGGACATTCACCTTCTCTCTGCGTAGTGGTCGTAGAGACTACTAGAGAGAGAGACGTAGACTCGCGTAGGTCTCAGTCGTAGAGTCGTAGCATGAGTGAGAGAGTCACTATGTACTCACAACTTACAACTTACAACTTAAAAAAAATAAAATATGGATCGCTGCCTTATTAGGAAATCTGTGCTGTATGAGCAATTATGATTGGTGAGTTCGTCAACATAAAAACGAATTACCCACATGTTCCATTACTTATAGAGATGTCTTTATACTCCCAGAGTAGAAGAACTTTAAAAACTGGTTTTCATTGACTAATACTAACTCTCATATCTTTTTTTCCAAAATATATGATTTCCAAATCTCAGAATGATGAGTCACTTTGGTCCGCAACTTGCTTCCTATTGGCTCCTTACAAATATCGCGTGTTTATTTTTATATATTTTGTACAGTTAAGACTCAAGTGTCAACTTTCCATTTTTTTTTCAACTACGAAAAAGCTTCCTTCACTACTGGTCAGATAGTATTCAGGAGATGATTCACCGGGATGGTCGGGAATTCCGAATTCAGGATCCCATTCACAATCCGGTAAATTAAATTTTTTATGACTTATAATATTTTGTACAAACGGTCACTTGACACTCGGTCACACGCGGCTATACGGCACTACAAGGGTCTAAATACCAAGCCTGACCACCCCAACGCCAACGGCAGCTGGTATTTGAAAGTGGGCTGAAATCGGAACTCGTTCACCACTCACGTCACACGACGAGCAGTGTGTGGCTATGTGCACATTGCTCTGTACGCACAATTGCACATTGAAGAGTCATTGCCGCATTAGCGTGACCCAAGAAATTTGGAAGCCTGGGGCTGGGGCGGGGCCCTGGGCCCTGGGCCCTGGCCCGCCCCTGGGGGAAGGGGCTGGATTCCCGATTTTCACTTTCTACTTTTATTCTATTTAAAAACAAATCTAATTATAAAAACATCACATTTTACAGAGTCTATACTCTATAAATAAGTTTACTACATACAGTACTAAAATACAGTCGACTCTAAATAGTACTCTCCTATTCTACAATCTAAAAAATAAATATGTACATTCTGTTACAGTATGTCTTACCATACAAATACATAATAAATACTGAGTGGAAATCTGACAACTCTTATATATAGAAATATAAAAAATACACAGTACAGTACATGTAATATTGTAAAAAAAATGTGATGACAGATGAGTACAGTCGGATTTTTAATTTTTTAGTTTTTTATGTTTTTTTTAAATCACTGAGGTATTCAAATGAAAATAAAACATAATTCTAAGAATAGACCAATACTGAACAAGTATTATACATAATGAAAGTTGACAAACAAGGACAATCACAGGGTGTTCTCAATTTTTTAAGTTCGGAAGTTCTGGAATAGAAGGCCGGAAGCTGATGAATTGCTATAAGTACACCGCACTCGATTATTGCCACCTCACTCTCTCGCTTGGCAGGACTATTAAGTATAAGGTTGCCTTCCTATAAAGTTATAGCATATAGCAAACGTGTATCAAAAAAATATGAAAACTGCAGGTGTAATCACAGGACTGGCTGTCGTAGCCACAAGCCAAGCTCACACAATCAATCGTCGAGAAGCATGTCCAAGCGGCAATGTTGTTTTCGATGCCTGGGCGTTCGCAGCAGACTGTGGTTCCATTGATGGAACCCCCCCACCTACTATTTCTCTAGATGTGCCCATTGGCAGTCCCTGCTTTGCCGTCCCAGCTGGTCCCCCTCTAGGCCTTCCTTTCGCCGCTGCAGTGGAATATATCGCTGAAACAGACAGCTATGCTGCCTCAATCTACTTGGATGATAATTGCACGGATTTGCTTGCTTCTCTTCCAGATGGTTACAAGCTAGGTGAATGCGCTGTAGTCGAATCTTCTCTAGGAGATGTATACCTAAGAGGAACTTGCTCCGAAACCGGCGAAGGTGCTGCCGCAGAGCCCGAGCTCGAGGCCGAGACTGAGCCCGAGATTGTGGACGAGGAAGAGGTCGAGGCTGCCGAGCCTGATGTGTCTGCCGTGGTTCTTCCAGGTGTTATCGTACCTGTTTCCGATGAACCCATGGTCTCTGAACTGGCATCTGAAGTTGCATCTGAAATGGAGTCAGAAATGGTGGCTAGCAGCGAAGCTCCTGAGGAGTGTTGCATGTGCGAGCCCGCAAGTAGTGATATGGCAAGTGGAATTGCTTCAATGGGTAGTGACATGGCATCTATGGCTACGGACGCCGTAGTAATGACAGATGAGGAGTCTGATGATGGTTTTGAGATTCTGCCCGTACGTCGTCGTCGCCAGATCAGCGAGTCTGCACTAGAATCGATGGTTGAATCTATGGTTGCTTCAGGATCACTGGTGGCTTCTGAGATGTCTGGGTCAATGATGGCGTCTGAACCTGCCGCTTCAGGTGAGTGCTGCCCTTGCCCTGTCGTCTCAGAGATTGAATCCGAATCTATGATGATGACCGATGAAGTCGTGGTCACCGAAGCTGTTTCAGAAGTTGTATCTGCTCTCGGAGCCGTATCGGATGCAGTTGACGATCTCACTGAGGCAATTGTAGATGCCGTCTCTACTGAGGCCGCCAGTGGAGAGACGGAAGAGGAGATTGTGGAACAGGATCAGGAGGATGAATTAGATGAGATTATCGACCCAACATTTGACGAATAAGTCCTAGAGTGAAGCAGTTGAACTTGCGGCTGTCAATCCATAGATAATGTTTTCTGAATTGTAAGTGACGGTACGCACATATTTTTGAACCAATAAAATATAATTTGTTATACGAGGGTCTGAATGGTTTTCTATTGTCTTGTTTTCATTACGAATCGAGGATTTGAGGGTTATCGATGTTTTTAAAAACCGAAAAAAAACGTTTTAATTGCAAGTCCACCCCTCTCGGTACTATTCAAAATTTAATAAAGGGGGCTGAAGGTGAAAGATTGAAGCCTCTAGTCGGCTCCCCCTCTGAAGTGGGAAAGTCTGAAGCTTTAAGCATTGCTGACAAATTCATCATTCAAATCATACATTATAGGGTGAAGGCAGTACGTAATATATTTATTGTAATGTAACGACATCGACAGAAAGAATTGAACGACTGCCTCGACCTACTGTTGGATTGAGTATTTCGTGGCTTCCAGCAGTCCAGCACGGAAGTGTGTATTTAGGGATATTTCCCTCATACTAAACATTAAACAGTAGAACTCAGAGCTTCATCGGCATTATCTGAGTAGACTACCTCAACCTGCGCCGTTCAATACTCTTGCGCTTCAATCAATGGCGCCTCAGTAGACATTCTTGCCGGTGCCGGCGTGTTCCGCCGTGTGTTTTTCAACAAACAATCAAGATGCTTTCTCACCTGTTGTGAAATCAACCTCGACGAGATCACGCATCGACCCCTCAGATTTAACCGGTGCTATTCGATGGGGAATCGAAATGCGATTCCGCAGTCATGTCGATGTCTGACAGTTACATCACATCCCAAGCCATCCCCTATTGTTGCCAAGACCTTGAGCGGACATGCCTCGAAGTAGGGAACCCAGTTGTGTCAGATAACTAAGTTCACACCATTATAAGGGCCAAAGATTGGAAAGACACCTGGCCTACCAATCCCTCATCTCGACCTTCATTCCAATAATCGAGCTTGCTACACAGCAATATCCTAAAGTGGCTGCCTCCGCCGAAACAAACAGCAACACTCTAGCGCTCAATTTAGACTCGCTTGCACTACAAGATTTGTATGTGCTTATCTCCGCTTATGATTGGTATATGAAATCTACTTTGGAGAAAATGTCCTGTATAAGCTCGGATACTTTCCACATCCGGTTAAACTAGGCACACGAACATGAATTCTGGCCGGTATTGCTTGCTTGCTGTGTATTGCTAGGAGGACACGGCACAGCACCACATTCTCCTATATATCTTAATCTAACCGCACAACGTCCGTACTACTAGCACAGTCTTTAAACAAGTGCCAGTGCAGCTCTGAACGCACGCACGTGGTCACCCCGTTCGCTCGCCTGCGTCTGTGCTATGAGTTGCAGCGTCGACTTGACTTCAGGCGTGCCCAACAAATCCAACAGACGAGTGCTCTGGAGTGTCTTTGTCACTGCGCCCAGTAGATTCATGATATCTGCCGAAGAATCTGGTAGTAGTGAGAGATAAGAGATAAGATGGAGTGGAAAGTAGGCTCACTGCGAATATCATTACTATGAGAAAGCCCACGGTGGCGAATACGCAATGTAGAAGTATGAAGGTAAGTATGTTATGCAAGCAACGTTGCATCCCGCGGAATCTTACCATCAGATGACGAACAAATTAACAACAGGAAATCTGAGCTTAGGGGTCCAGGAATAGTGTTTGTATCCCATCGATATAGAGAATCCTCCTCCACACACATGCGGATGATATATATATATATATATATATATATATATATATAATAATATATATATATATATATATATATATATATATTATTATATATATATTA